TACATATTGCTATTGCCACATCATCAGTTTTTCACATCATGCCCAAGTTGGCTTTCACACTGTCTGCTTTCACATTGATAGCTACTGGCCTGTCCCAAACATAGTAAACTTTGATATCAGCTCTTTGAGGGCTATAGGATGATGAGCTGATTCATCCTGGGAGGTGTCCTCAAGTCAAGTCATGTTGTAAGTTGACCATGTATCCATGTATTGAGACAGAACAGTAGATATCAACATGAATGGCCTCCTCTGGCTTGAAAGCCGACTTGGGCATGATGAAAAACTGATGATGTGGCCATAGCAATATGTAAAGTCATGGCAATCCTTCAGCCATATCCCCACATGAACTTGTTATGTTTTGAGATAAGACTGTAGGTACCAATATGAAAAGCTTAGAATAGCCTTTCCTAATGTAAAAGACAACTTGTGCATGATGTCAAAAACTAATGCTGCAGCACTGGCAATATGTAAGATCATGTCAATCCTTCAACCTCATCCCCATAACCTAGACAGGGCCAAGGACACCATAACCTACATGTCAACTACAAACTTTTGTAGTCTCAAAAAGCGGACACTACAAACTTTTGTAGTCTAAAAAAGTGCCTTTTCTAAAGGCTCTCATGCTCTCTTTTGCATATGATTCCTCAAACTAGACATGGAATTGAGTCCCTGCAATGTATCTGTATATTCCCCAGCCATTTCCCCATCAAATATGTGCCATGTATGGGATGGATGGGCTAGGTTGACTTTGGATAACCTTTTAGCCCTAACCCTAACTTTGTAGTCTAAGTCCAACTTTTGTAGTCTTTTGTAGTGTATCAGTAAAATTTGTAGTCTATGTCCGACTTTTGTAGTCTTATGTAGTCTATCAGTAAACTTTGTAGTTGAGTCTGACTTTTTTATAGTCTATCAGTAAACTTGGTAGTCTATATCTGACCATTCCTTTTCTAGGGCATGCACCTTCCTTTTTTGGTCATTTTCCCCACGATACAATAGTTGTAGCCCTTTCTTTTAGCTTTCTAAATATACTGAAATCATATTGTTTGGTTTTGTTTTCATGGAGAAAAATGCAAAAAACACGATGCTTTTGGGATTCCTTTACCTCATATCTCCACAACGGGAGCACTTCAGAACATAATTTGAACAGATTCAGGAAGCTACAGTGTAGGGCTACAACTTTTGTTTTTTGACCATTTTTGGTAATTGGTCATGTGACCATCATCCCAACATCCCATTACATGGACCCTGATAGGTAAAATCATTCTCCAGTTGGTTTTCTTCACTTTTTGGTCAAACCAGGTGATATTTCCCTTTTGGGATGGAACCTGAAGTGGACCCTGAAGGCAGTGCCTGATGTTCTGTAAACCATTTTTATATATATTCAATTTTTCCACTATTTTTCTGGCTATTTTTGGATATATTACCATATTTGGAACTGGACCCTGGACCCTGACAATGTTACCCAACATGATGATCAGCAATGAGCCCTAATTTTTCCTGATTTTATTGCCATTTTACATTTGGAAATGCACCCTGGACCCTGAAAGGTCAGCTGCCACTAAAAATGAAATATTCATTGAAAGCGCCAGGTACACATATGAAAAGTGCAATGAAATCTCCTAGGAATAAGAATGAAATATTCATTGAAAGCGCCAGGCATCCAAATGAGAAGCACAATGAGATATCCTGGGTTTAGCAATGAAATATCCAATGAAAGCACCAGGTATATCTATGAAAAGTGCAATGAAATATCCTAGGAACAAGAATGAAATATCCATTGAAAGCGCCAGGCATTCAGATGAAAAGCACAATGAAATATCCTGGGGCTAACAATGAAATATCCAATGAAAGCGCCAGGTATCCATATGAAAATTGCAATGAAATATCCTGGGGTTGAGAATGAAATATATATTGAAAGAGCCAGGTGTCCATATGAAAATTGCAATGAAATATCCTGGGGTTGAGAATGAAATATATATTGAAAGAGCCAGGTGTCCATATGAAAATTGCAATGAAATATCCTGGGGTTGAGAATGAAATATATATTGAAAGCACCAGGTATCCATATGAAAATCGCAATGAAATATCCTAGAACAATGAGATATGCGATCTCATTGAACCTCTAGGCATTATACACATTGCCCTCCAGGCATATGTCTGGTTTTTATCATAAAAGTGTATACCACCCATCGCAGCATTGAGAAGAATCCGTATAAATACCACACAAGACAGCATTCCCTGCTGCAGACACCCCAGAACAAAAGGTTTATCAAATATATCGACACCATGAGCCGCCGAGAAACAAAGATTTATACCGCTTTACCCAAAACTCCCTCTGAGACGGTGCAATTCCAGATGCCGTCAGGTGCTTCCGTCAACTACGCTATCTTCCAAGAAATTGGAACCAGCACATTACTTGTACAATGCGATCTTTGCAACAGATACCTCCCGCTTACAAAACATAAATCTACAATTCACTATCAAAGACACTGGGGGAGTGTGATTTGCAGGGATGTTCAAGATCAAAACAATGCTGCTCGTCTCGACATTGGTACTCCCATTCAATCACAACCTGGAACGACATTCATCAACTCTTTCCAAGAACCGAGATTCAGTAGAAGTAACTCGCCACTTACCAATTCAGCTTCCCCTTCCACTACACTGACACAAACCTCATTTTCATTTGATTATCCATCCCACAATGTGCCTGCGCTGTGGACATCTACGTGGAAGAAGAGGTTGCGATGGTGGAGTCATCCACAAGAGAATCCCGAAAAAGATCGATATTGATCCAATCAGCTTCTCGAGATGAATCCCCCACAAAACAGCATCAAGGCTTATAATAAAATAGTGTTTCTACAAATAATTGGACAGTTTCTATTAGTTACGCTGTATATTTAGTGTTACCATGAATACTACAAGTCTATCGCATTGTGTACGGCGTTATCTTCACGCTGATTTAGTCTCCCATATCCGACCCTGGATTCAACTCCTTTGGGACTTTGATGGGACAAGACGAAGGGAGTCGTTTTCTCGGGATCTTCCGCTCGCAGCCCCTTGGCCTTCACTGACTCATTAAGCTGCAAGTTGGGCGAAGGTGGACGTGCCTCAACAAGCGGTCACTGATTGTTTACAAAGGAATGCCAATCGACATACCTGCATTCTTTCCATCTCAGCTTCGTCAATGGGCCAATCATGGGTGGACCCAATTCCTTTGACAAATGTGGATGTCTTTCGTTTTTTGGGTTTAACAGACGCCTGATGCGATAAAGTTCGTGAAGTAGTAGGTTGGGCAGACCCCGCCGATAACGTTGGTTTAGTAATATCTTCTTCATCGGACAGCTCAGACAGCTCGGACAAGTCAGATGCTCCATCTTGGTAGTCTGCCGTTTGCACGTTGTGATAGTTTTGGGAACCCCCAACTACGTCGGATTCTTTGCCTCCGACGTGTCCATCGGCAGTCCTGACTGAACCGGATTCTCTGCTTCCGAGTTGCACACCGCTGGTGAGATCATCTAAATGTGTGTCTTCAGGGGTTTGAGAATCACCGAGCTTGGAAGCCCCGGCTACATTAGATTCTGCATCTCCAAAGTGTCTGCCACTGTCGAGATTGTCTATAGGCATGATTTCATGGGTTTGAGGACCACTCATCGCGGAAGCCCCGATTGCACTAGGTGTTGCATCTCCAAGATGACCTTCATGGGAAAGATTGGCTATGGGGGTGCCCTTGTGGGTTGGCGAACCATTGATGACGGCAAGTGGATCACACATGACCATATTACCGTGACTTTGGGCGTCATTGAGAGCAGTTCCCTCCATTAAAGAGGGCGTTGTGGCAGAAGCTTCAAGGGCTGTGTAAATGATATCCAAACAAAGTGTTTCGACACTTGCCTAAAATCGAAGTTGGATTCAACGGAGGGTCCAAAATTGGCGATTCTTGTGTTGTAATCTTCAATGGCCAAAGAGTTGGTATCTCTAAAATATCGATATTGTCAAGCGTTTCAAGATATTTCATCTCAATTTTCTGTTCTAACAAAGCGTAAAGTAAATTTAAACAGCAGATTTTTGGATTGAATTACTTACTTGCTTCGAACCAGCGGCGGTCATGTTCCGGGAGGTCACCTAACTGATCCCATGGAACCAGCATAAGGAAGGTGGTCAGCGCCCCATGACCTGTTTCTTGTCCCCGTGCTACAGAGAAAATAGCGTCCCAGAGGAGTTTTTCTATGCTCCACAAACGAAGAGGAAGAGGTTGCATATTTCCCAATGCTTTCCACATCTGTTTTCATGAGTTCCCTAAGCTCATCTATACAGATCATTTCTCTGCCAAACTCACCAAAAAAATCGAGAATCGGTCGTAGTCGCGACCACATAACTGAACTCCTGTTAAAAGTCCTATGGGAGAGACAAAAGCAGCCAAGTGAATCGGTAGGTTGAGACGATGGGGAGGTTTTATCATTTTCTCTAACTCTGTCAGCGATGGTCCTCCTCTAGATAGGGTGCAATGAGTCACCTGTGTAGGATGAGAAATGACAGGCAGTATGCACTTTGCTTCCCGCAAAAATTCAAACACGTCCTTCTTGTTGTTCAAGTCCGACCATAATCCCTGAAAAGGTGAGATTGAAAAAAAGAATGCAACGAACTGAATTGTCAGCTACCTTCCACATTGCTCTTATTAGTAACGCGGCCGCTTCTATATTTGTGGTCGACGCCAATGCCTTCCCATGCTTCAACTTGCCAGTGATGGATTTGAAAAGGCGAGTATCAATATCCCCCCCTAAAGTTTCAGGAACGCCTTGCGCTGCTAAGGCTGCCATGTTGTCTCGAAATTTCTTTAAAGTTAGGGTCCAATCCTCCATTTTATCCCAACCCTGATAAAGAGTAGTGAGGGATGACACATGTCCCAGCAATAACAAAGAAAGCGACCAACCAGACCTGGCCCACATCCTAAAACCACGCGCCGGTTACACCGCAGAACGTCGTGCGTGCTCACTCCCTTCTCCTGGATGATCATAAGCTCTAAAACCCTGTATACCAAGAAGGTTTGCACGAGGTGCAGTTTTGCAGGGGGATAGCAAGGTTTTGTGATCGGGTCCGTCATAACCTTTCGTTTTGGCACCTCTATCTCACCGAGTCGAATGACCCTCCGAAAGGATGTCATATTGTCCGAATTCCACCGGGTTGCAACATCAGACTGAATTCGTGCTAGAATTGAGAGAAAATCCTGTAAATGACGTGAATATATAATGATCTCATGATCATACATGCAATATCACAAATACCCTATTTGGATTGTCTGGTTGCAGTGATTGTTCCAGATCCAATGAGCAAACAATGTCTGATACTTGCCACGGGCAGGAAGCCCAGAGTGCCGAGTTCCTTTGGAAAGGCGAGAAGGCCGTGACTTCTTGAACTAATGACTGTGAAGAAGACCTATCAAAAAGTCAGGAGGAAAGCGAACAGTTTATGCTGAAAAGACTGATGATTTTGAATTCATAACTCTTGGATGAGTCCAACTCCGTACTATTACTGGTGGGAAATGCCTGAAGGCAACAGTACTGGTAACGTCATCATTATATGTTGATCAACAGAATCAGGGAATAACGAAACAAGATGGGCAGTGATTGAAACAAGCATAGTCAAACCTCCCAGATTGACTGACGGGAAGTCCAAGTCAAGACTCGATGGATGAACACCATATTGTTGAAAATGTGCCAGAGGTAAGGTGACGCATAGTCGAACCTCCCAGATTGACCGATGCGAAGTCTAAGTCAAGAGATGAACGACTGACGCGAAGTCCATGTCGTGAGGCAAATGAGGCAAAGTTGTAGCATGAAATCAACACACCTTTTTTTGCTTCAGATGAGCCTGCCACTGGTGAGTGCCGTAATTTATTCCGCAACTAGGACACGAAGGGAACTTCCAAGGTCTGAAGGGAGTACTGGTTTGAACGTGATCTTCGGAGTCTATAGTACTACTTGTAGTAGTACGTGATCCGAGTCAGCAACCGCAACTTCAAATAGTGAAACATCAATCATATCAGTTGTAACCCTGGGAATGAATCCCACAATGGCCCGGCAGTGATTGAAACTTGCACAGGGTAGGACTAGACGAACCTCCCACTGGCAGATTGGCCGACGGAAAGTCTAAGCGAAGACTCTGAGATGAACGACCGATGCGAAGTCCAAGTCAAGAGATGCACGACCGACGCAAAGTCCAAGTCAAGAGATGCACAACCGACGCAAAGTCCAAGTTGTAATGCGCAACCGACGCGAAGGGGTCCAAGTTGTGGCAAATGACGCGAAGTCTATTTCGCTGTTGAGTACAAAGGAAAATGCACCTTATTACGAGCAACTACTAGGATGGGGCAGATACTCTGTGAGACCAGCTCGAAGTTCCTCGAGCTCAGACGCTGGGACTAGGACGAGGCACTGTTAAGGTCACTTGTGGATCGGAAACTTGAACTTGAACTTGAACTTAGTGTGTGACCGTACGTGACTGTCTTTGGTCATATTGATCAGCAACGTCCATGCCAATCAACAAATAAAGAAACATCCATCGGTTTAATCTGTAGTGGCGCTGCGTACTACTGCTAACTCTTCGTTACTCCCTCAGGCTCACCGTGGTGGGCCCTGCTCGTACTAATAACACGCTGTTCAATGTACCGCCGCGACCTGCTCTTCAGGCCCACTCGATCCCACCAGCACAGGAGTCCAACATCGACCTTGGCTAATGGACACAACACCCGTTACTCGTCCCCGACTACCGGCAGCAGTTCCGAGTCCGACTTGCTAACGATCCCTCAAGGTGAAAATTTGCCAAGAGTCATTCTATCAATTGACAATGAAGGATTTCAGAGAGAATCGCGGATTGCGTGAGTGACGCATTTGAAGTGCAAAACAGGCCTCGGTGAGTCGATCTTATTCTACGGCAGAGTAGACTTTGCGTCATTCGCCTCACGACTTGGACTTCACATCGGTCGTTCATTTCTTGACTTAGACTTCGCGTCGGTCAATCTGGGAGGTTCGACTATGTGTCACCTTACCTCTGGCACATTTTCGACAACGCGGTGAGTTGGTTCGCTTTGAACAATAGTCAAATGTTTGACTCGCTACTCAATATAGAGAATGAGTTTGAAAAAGTGGGCTATGCATCAAACCCATTGACCTTGCACGCTTGGCTTTACAACACATTTGGTCATGTCGGAAAGGATAACACAGGTGCGCTGGAGGACCTCCTTTAAAGTTGTGTAAACCTACAACATTGCCCTAGGTTCATTAACTCTTTAACCTCGCTTTAATTCTGTTGCAACACAAGCTGAAGCAGGCCGCCGTTAGATTTAAGTGGCAGGGGCAAATCGACCAGGGCTTTCAATTGTTCTCCTTCCAAAATCGCGCTGCCAAATACTACGCCACTACCCAGTGCTGCCCGAGGCATTTGGGTGTGCTACCCACCTGAATCAATGATGAATGGCACCTCAGATTTCAAAGTGCATTTGGCATCTCTAGGAAAGGGGCTGCTAGTCCTTCCCCCAGCCTGCCCTAAATCTCAACCCACCCTAAAGTGCCTCAGATATATAGCGCTTCAGCATCTGTCACATCTCTTTTGCTTTCCTTCTCCTCTTCTCCCCCAATTTATGTTTAACCGTAAACTTGAGTAGTAGTGTTTGAAAGTCTGGTTCGGTCCGGTTTTTTGATGCCCAGGGGCGTTAACCGTAACCGTAACCGGTCTGCCTTTTCCCCAGAAGTCAAAAGACCAGACCGGACCGCAAAAAGACCGCAGACCGCGGTTTTTTGCGGTCTATAGACCGGTTTCGGTCTGCATCAGTTTTAACCGGTTTATGACCGGTCTTTAGGCCAATATTTTAAAATTATGAATCGGTAAATTTATTAACATCTCTAATAGCTTCAAAACGAGCCCAAGAACGTTAAATCCCGTTAGGTATTGGTGCTTCTATAAAATAAGTCTGGTACATCTATTATTCCCCAAAGTAATTTACATTTTAATTCATATCTCTCTCGTTTTTTTACCAAATCGTACGTTCTTGGGTGCGTTTTAAAGGGTATTTAAGGGGCTACAAAAAACCGGTCCAAACCGGTCAAGACCGGTTCACGTTAACCGGTCTTTTTGCGGTCTTTACATTTCAAAAATAAAAGACCGTAACCGCAGGTCCGGTCTTTTGCGGTCTTGGTCCGGTCTGGTTACGGTCTTTTTCCAGTCACGAGACCGGACTTCCAAACACTATTGAGTAGTGTACCATATCAATTGTAAATGAACTCCACATAGTATAACGTAAGATTGGGTACCAGAATAGCCCAATAATAGCCCTAAGAAACATGTAATAGGTGCTGGATAGACACCATGAGGCTATTTTGTATCTTGGTCAGTTCTGTACCGTTTTCTACCAAATAAGTGTTGATTACCAGCTATTTGATGTCGATTTCAGGGCCTGAAGAGACGAGAGGCATCTGCCATCATATTTTTGAGATATCTGTCATGCTAAGTTTCATGATTCATCAGGAGGGTGTACTCTATCTTTGTGAGTTCTCCATCACCATCCTTCATTAAAGGCTCGTTTACAACATATTCTAGTGTAGTTTAAAGGTCCCAAAGAGACAAGAGGTTTGCGTGTCCGCGTTCTGGAGATATCTTCCATTTTCTGTTTTGGGGAGCAAGTACCTTAGGTCAGTCAAGTTTCCATCGTTTCTTATGATCTAGGGCTCGTTTAAAACATATTCTAGTGTCGTTTGAAGGTCCCGAAGAGACGAGAGGTTCGTGTGTCCGCGTTCTGGAGATATCTTCCATTTTCTGTTTTGGAGAGCAAGTACCTTAGGTCAGTCAAATTTCCATCGTTTCTTATGATCTAGGGCTCGTTTAAAACGTATTCTAGTGTCGTTTGAAGGTCCCGAAGAGACGAGAGGTTTGCGTGTCCGCGTTCTGGAGATATCTTCCTTTTTCTGTTTTGGGGAGCAAGTACCTTAGGTCAGTCAAATTTCCATCGTTTCTTATGATCTAGGGCTCGTTTAAAACATATTCTAGTGTCGTTTGAAGGTCCCGAAGAGACAAGAGGTTTGCGTGTCCGCGTTCTGGAGATATCTTCCATTTTCTGTTTTGGGGAGTGAGTACCCTAGGTCAGTCAAATTTCCATCATTTCTTATGATCTAGGGCTCGTTTAAAATGTATTCTAGTGTCATTTGAAGGTCCCGAAGAGACGAGAGGTTTGCGTGTCCGCGTTCTGGAGATATGTTACATTTTCTCTTTTGGGGGGAGTTGAGCTGTATCTCAGTCAGCTTTCCACCATTTTTCTTCACTGAAGGCTCATTTACATTGTATTCTAGTCGTATTTGAAGGAGCTGAAGAGATGACATCCATACATGCTCCTATTTCTATGCTATCTCACATCCTCCCCTATTTTTTTTGCGAATTTTTATTTATTTTCATAATCATTTGGTTTCTATTATAGTTCTATGCTCGAAATATACATTACACTGTGTATCTATCAGGTAGACAGCATCTAATTTACCCAGATTTATAGTCACATCACTTTGAGAATTATGTGCCGGCTTGAGCCGGCTTTGGGTCAGCTAAAAGCCGAGCCAAGCCACTTAAGGAAATTTAGCTGGCTTACATAAGCCGGCTCTCGGCTAGCTGAGCCGCGGCAACACTAGTTCCGGATGAATCGGCCTATGGAGTGGGCACTCTGTCTCATTCGGTCGAAGTCCTTGGTTCGTTCTACCTGCTTTGCAGTCACGCTATATTCTGACTTGCCGAAGTGTACTTGCGGTCCTTCTTCCACATTCCTAGTGACGCCCACTTCATAGGTCAGTTGATAGTCTTCGCCAAGTAGTATTGGTACTGTCATTCCCGGAACTACATAGGCTTCTGCCTCAGACTTGATCGTTATGCCGTCGTCTGTGACCATGAGAATGGGTATGCGTACGAACCCCCTTAGTCTGGAGTCCTTATCGGTAAGTTGCCACAGTCGCATGCACATACCTTGTTGAATTGGAGGGCTGGCTTTTAGGCTATCATAATATTCTGCCGAGATCAATGTAACGTCGGCGCAAGAATCCAGACGAAGATCCGTTATGGGGTTACTCATATTGCCCACCCATCCCTTGACAGATAGTACTGAAACACCCACTGACGACTCTCCTACCGGATAGAACCGCTTCTTTGCCAATCGTACAGGTTTCAAGTCCTTTGGCGGAGGAGGCAATTGGAAATCCGACGGAGATTCCACGTCATCAGGAGAGTCATTCCTAGGGAGGGTCTGTTCTTTGGATTCCGAAGCAAGCGCTGCCGCTGCTGTAGCCGATCGTATCTTGTCATCCGAGAGCGTCGGAGCTTGGTCAGGTCCATTGGCGGTGGCATTCTCGTGTAAAGATTCAGAATTCCTCGCACTCGGTGGGGGATCTTTAGTTCTGTCTGGTCTCTCATCCTCCGTTTCTTCGTTCGTATTGTAGAGAAGGTACGTCGACGCTTTTGGTTTGGAACGGGCTTCCAACCATGACTCATCGTCTATCTCTTGGACGGTCACTCGCTGCCTTTCCACAGACTTACGCTCATCGACTCTGTCTTCAACGCTTAGTGCGTTAATTTCTTCGTGATGAACTGCCTGCTCAAAATCCGACTTTACTCGACTCAGATCGAATTGCGATGTTGCTAACCGCTGAGAAAGGAGGATACTGAAGGCACTCTGGTAACACTTATCCCCTTCATCTTCTACTGTTTCATTTGAATGACCATTTCGATGTTCGGAAGCCATCCGAGCGTTGTAGATCTCACCATCCGGGCATTCTTTGTCCCAGTGGTTCTCGCTGCCGCAGGCTCGACAGGGCGAAGGTGGGAGTTTTCCCATCTTAGTTGTGACGTGATCGTTTCGCGGAAACATGTATCCGCCAGGAGGGGGAGCCCTTTGCCGTTTCTGCATGACCTGGTATACTTCACGCAACATGTCGTCGTGAGTTTCGTCGATTTGCGATTCTTCTTGCTTGGGCACTTCCTCTGTGACCTGATTTCCCTCCCTTTCCTCAGCTATTGTCATCAATACTCTTCGATGCTGAGGTGGTCTATCCTGTGTTGCGCGCATAGGCGTAGATAGTAGTGGTGGTCGAGTTCTAGGCTGTTCCCAACCTAAACGTTTCAAGGTAGGTATCAAGTTGTCCACTGTTACAAGGTCTTTATTGTCCTCCACTGATTCCTGCCAGAATCCGGCGGAATCCGGGCAATTCCTGGAATTCCGGAGGAATCAAATTTGGCAGAGGGCCCTGCCAAATTGATCAAACCATTCCGGCGGAATTTTGATGGAATTCAAATTCCGCCAGAATGGTTCCAGGAATCACCCGGAAGGAATGATCCCGGAATGAGACGGAACGGAATTCCTGACGCCCAAATCGAGTGTCGGTGTTTGCCGATGCTTGATTTGGGCGTCATCAACAAACAACTCCCACTCTCTCAACCACCACCATCATCCACAACGCCAACCCACCTCGCGACACCGCCACGTCACCAACGGCCACCACGACGCACACAACGACGACGTCCGTCATTGTTTCACCACGACCCCAACACAACACCACGGCCACGACACGGAAACGATG